ATTAAATCAGGCATTTCTGATGAGTGTTGATTATAAGCCCCTATGAGTGGGATGAAGGGGACCATTTGTGAAGGAGGGTAAGCCTGGGAGGTGCTCAGGAAGAAGGCATCATAGGCAAGTTAGGAATAGACCAAGCTCACAGCCAGACTTTTCTGACTGCAGGGCTGAGTTTGCACTTGGCATTTCCATAGTGTACTGGACCTCTGCTTTGAAAAAGGAGTTATATTTTATTCTTGCGTGACATGGAATACTTCCCATCTGCCTTTGATTTTCTGCTTCAGTATATTTCTGATTCTCTAAATTGCACTGTTCATTTTATATTTAGCCCTTGAAGTCTCATCTTCAACCGGTCTTCCCCATGCTGGTTGCTGAAGTGTGAGGAATTAGAGAAGATGTTCTGCCAGCTTCGTGCCAGTTCTACTGTGCTGTTAATGTCACAAGGATGACTTCCTTTCCTGAAGTACCATTTACTTATAATCATGGTACTCAGGTTGTTTTCATTTCTTCATTGGAGGCTTAACATTCTATTTGTGGATCCACTGCTGGATTAATTAAGTATTTCAGGTGCTCAGCCCTAGGCTAGGGGTGAGGGTGTGTGTGCTAGAACCCCCCCTACACACACACACACCCTTTTTAGAAGAATCTGGAAATCTGAATTTTTATATGAAAATCTTACAAGTTTTAAATGTTGATAAAGGTGGGGCAGGATGTAGGTGAGCTAAGAGAAGAGGGAGGAGTTATTTCTGTTACTTCCTGTACCTGGGACAAAGGTACAGAGGGAGTAGAGAATGTGTGTTTTCCTTATCAGTACTGACCCTAGTCCCTGTGGGCTCTTCTGAATCACCCTTTCTAGGTTAAACCTGCTGCTTTTATCAGGATATAGGTCCGGCTGCCTGAACAGCAACTCAAAGTATTAAATAAGATATAAATTATTTCTCTCCTAATGGTCTGAGTGTAGGCAAACTTAGGTGCTCCTTTTTTCTTCTTGTTTTGCCTTGGCTCATCCTCATGACCCAACATGTTTCACCTTTGTGTGTACATGCCAGCTGGCAGGAGGGGAAGGGGTGGGTGGAGAAGGCCATGCCCTTTCTTTGCAGGGCAGGATCCAGATGGTACCACTTCTGTTCATGCCCTGTTGCCCAGAATTTAGTGATGTGGCCATTCCTCACTCAAAGGAAGGATGGAAAATGTGAGTTTTAGTTGGGACGCTATATATTAGCTAAAAATTAAGCACTTAATCAGAAAGAAAGAATAGGTATTATGGGATGCTTTGCACTTGTGGGTTGCAGTTTCTATAAGGTAAGGTATCCCTTACCGTATTCACTGCTTCAGTTTTGCAATTATTTTAGCAAACTCTAGTAGCACACATGGCAGGTGATACTTGCCATTCATTTTTCCTGTTTTATTAGAGTCTCATGGCCTACTTTATTTCTGGTTCACTCAACATTGCATGATGAGTCTGTATTGTTGGTCTTAGAGCAGGGGTCTTCAAACTTTTTGTCTCCTTAAAATTTACCAAAGAGCTGGGGTTGTGGCTAGTCATAGAGTGCTTGCCTAGCATGCATGAGGCACCACTGGGTTCGATTCCCGGCAGTACATAAAAAAATAAACAAATAAATAAAATAAAAGTATTGTGTCCATCCACTACTAAAAATTTTTTTTAAAAAATTTACTAAAGATGCTGAAAAGTTTTGTTATGTGGGTTATATGTATTTATTATTACTGTATTAAAGTTAAATATTAAATGAGTATACCAGTAAACATTCCATTAACTGTTGGAAATCTCCACTATACAACTGTGAGAGACTGATGTTAAAAAAGCAAATAATGTTTCAGTAATGGTGTGAAAATAATATTGACCTTTTAGACTCCCCTAAAGGATCTGGAGAGACTTGGACCATATTTTGAGAGTCTCCAATCCAGAGAATATATATATTGATTTTGATAATTGTTTATATTACAACTGGAAGTGTCAGGATTAGGTGTTGTTACATAATTAGTTGTTCGTAAACCAAGTGTGGCTCAGTGGTACAGTTCTTGCCTAACATTCTCGAAGCTATGAGTTCAGTCCCCAGCAAAGTAAAAAAAAAAGTCAACTGACCAATGTTTTATATTTAGGAAGTGCTTGCATTTTATATTTAGGAAGCATTGGTTTTCATTATTACTGGATAATAAATTAATTTATGTGTGCAAATTAATAGTGAATATTTTTATCTATAATAGTTTAATCCATTCAGGAGTTCAGGATGAATTAAACATTTTATACTTATAGAAGCTCATTACATTTTATGAGTTTATTTTTGTGCATGCTTATTGTTTTGGGCCACTCTGCCCTAAATCCCCCTTTTCTCACTTGGCACATCCTACATCTTCTAGAAATGAAAAGTGCTGGAGATGTCAGGATATTCTATCGCTTTTGCAGCCAGGCTGTAAGCATATGAACTAGGCACTACCAGTCAGACACCTCCATGTCATTCTGTGAGATAGAAACTAGGGACATGCAGAAGTGCTAGGCAGCTGCACAATGATTCCATGGCAACAATTCCCGATAGAGTTGCGGGAACTGGTGGAACAAGCTTCAGACTCCCCTGCTCCTTGATAACAGAGATAGTGGTGGGGTTTTCACCAGATCAATGCTTCTGTGTGATTTGGGTTAATGTTCCTGAAATTGTAACCTCACCAACCCCGATTTCTCTGGTCCTTCTGGAAATATGTGATCTTTTCATTATCCTTCCATGAATTCAAAAGCCATTGTCTTTGCCTTTTGTTAAGAATTGAACCCAGGGGCGCTTAACCACTGAGCCATATCCCCAGCCTTTTTTTTTCCTTTAATATTTAATTTATTTATTTTTATGTGGTGCTGAGGATCCAACCCAGGGCCTCTCACATGCTAAGCAAGTGCTCTATCACTGAGCCACAACTCCAGCACCCCCAGCCTTTTTTAAAATATTTTTTTAAAGACAAGATATTGGTGAGTTACTTAGGGCCTCACTAAGTTGCTGAGGCTGGCTTTCAACTGATGATCCTCCTGCCTCAGCCTTCCAAGCCGATGGGATTATAGGCATACACCACCACTCCTGGCTTGGAGTGTCTTTTAAAAAAAATAATTCTACTCTTTACAAGACCCTAATCAATGACTAGTCAGTATTTCCTTTTTATTCTGTCTCTAACTCTTTTTTTAAAAAAATATTTTTAGTTGTTGATGGACCTTTATTTTATTCATTTATTCGTATATGGTGCTGAGAATTGAACCCAGTACCTCACATATTCTAGGTAAGCGCTCTACCACTGAGCCACAACTCTAGCCCCATTTTTAACTCTTAATATCTTTTTTTTTTTTTTCTGTTAACTTCTTATCACTGAGAAGTGGTAATTCCCCAGTTGGTTGCTGCCAGAATTGTTCAACTCAAGCTCTGGCTCTTTCCAGGTCGTTTCTTTCTTGAACATTTTGTAGTGAAAAAAACCTGCAGGCTTGGGGCTTAGGGGTAACTCCTGGGATGGTGCAGATAATGAGGGAGAAGAGATAAGTGACTTTCCTTGAAGGGTTTCTCAGCCATGGACTTGGGCCAGAAATAGCCTGGAGGGGCTCATTGATCTACTTAAGAGATTTGTAGAATAACAATGTTATAATTTAAGAGAATGAAGGCTCCTTTCCCTGGTTCCTAAATGAGGAAATGAGTGAGGAGAAGGTACATGTCCAGAGTCACCTCAGTGACTCAGTGGGTTATAAAGGACAAAAGAAATCTAGAAGAAGTGGGAAATGGTGATACAGAGATTGATGTGCATTAGCATAAAAAGGAAGGAACTCACTGAGTTGATATTTGAACTTGGGTATGTTCACTTCACACCTTTGAGCCTCAGTTTCCTCAATGGCAAAGTAAAGATTCTAATAATATCTAACATTTATAAAATTGACTATGTGCTAAGAACTATTCTAAGGACTTTATATGCTGACCCAATCCTTGCCACCACCATATGCCATGGTACTATTACTTCTTTGTTTTTCGTATGCACAGAAAGGCTATCTAACTTACCTATGGGCATGCAGCTAGCATATTGATTTTGGATTGCTACTTCACACATTTCCATGATCTCATCAATATGCTTTTAATCCCACAGTTGTGTGGGTGAAGTATCAGGGCCCAGCCTCCCTGAGTCCTCTGCACACCATCTCACAAGGCAGGGGTCAAGGTGTGGACCAGGGATTGGGGTCCATCTGAGGTTTGGGCTTCTCTTCAAAGCTCATGTTATTATTGGCAAAATTAATTTCCTAGTGGCTGTGTGGCATTTGGATCTTCTATTCCAGCAGAAGAGCATCTCCTTTGAAAGATCTAACCTTATTAGGTCAGGGCCACCCAGGATAACCTCTCTTGATTATTTGAGCATCAACTGACTAGGGTCCCCAATATCTTTGCAATATCTCTTCACTTGTGCCATATAATGTAACATAATCATGGGAGTAATAGCATCGCCTTTGTCGTGTTCTGTTGGTTTGAAGCCAGCTACAAAGTTTTGTCCATACCTGAGGGAAGGCGATTAAACAAACCCATTGTTTCCAAGGAGCAGAAATACAGAGCCTTCTAAGACTCCTGCCTACCACAACTCTAAAGCTGAGTTTAAACCCTGTGACCTAGGTAAAGAGTCCATTGCCCCAGAGTTCTTGCTATTAACCACGAAATTCTTCTTTCTTCCTTTGAAGAAACTGAACCTATTTTAGATCCAAGCATAGGGTTCTAAATAAAATAACACCCAGCAGCTTCATCCTGGGTGCTCATCAAATATTAATTCCCTTCACACCTTCACTTTGAATGTACAGCTTCAAGAAAACATAACCGCCTACGATTTTGTATTTTCCTGACCAGATTTCCAAAAGCCTCTGTAAACAATCTGGTTATGTAAGTTATCTCAATGTGTTGGATGTTTTTTTGAACATGTTATTTGGAACTTGGGACTTGGGTTCTCCACAAATAACCTTAGCTCTGCTTTTGTCTTTGAAACAGATGAAGTGATTGAGAAGAAACAGTGGACACCTTCCCATTTTGTAGACAGAACAACATGGAACAGCCATTTACTCTGAATTCTCTGGTAGGTAGCAGCAACTGATGCTTTACATATGGTTGGAAAACCCAAAATGAAGAACAGAAACGGGCCCAAACAAATGTGAAGTGAGTCACAGTTGCTTTAAGAAGTTCAGCACTTGTAGTTTTTTCATGCATCTGTGCGGCCAGCAGTCTCCTTTGAGGAAGTGACTAATAAAGCCATCTTCACAAGACTTAAAAATAATTTTTTTTCACAACAAAAGTGTAAAATTTTAATTAAGGTAGATTCTACCAGTGTAGTCCTTTGGAAAAACACTGAAGAGAACTTGAGAGTGTTATCACAGCAGGTAAAGCTCTTTGTGCCTCTGTCTCTTTACAGATAAAAATTGGGAGTCTTACCATGTAGGCTAATAGCTGAGGAAAACATATTTAACACCCCAGCTTTGCTTTGGGATCCTTGTGTAAATATCTGCATTCTTGAAACTCTTCTTCCTCTCACTTTTTCCCTTATGGCTCAGCAATACGCATACTTCTCTGGCTTCTCATACCTTAGAAGAGTGTGTATAATCTCTGTGGCAATTATTTGTGCCTTATGAAAATTGTAGACAGTATTTTCCATGTTCCCAGCCTACCACGATGGCTTGATAAATGGAAGCGATACTTGCTTTACTCCTGACTCTACCTGGCAACCCTATAGAAGTAGCCCTGTAAGCAACAGTGTGGTAACACCCCATCACACCCAAACAGTGAAATAGAAGGCCTGGATCTTGCGTCAAAATAGGTTGTGACCTAGTGTTTTTTCTCAACCTCAAGAAAGTCCTTCACAGGGGCTTAGTTACTTTCAGAGCATTTTTGAGAAATAAGGACTTACTTTGCAGGAACTTATTTGCTGACCCTGTGTTGGGAATAATAAAGGTTTGCCCCATGTCCATCTTTGCCGAGGAAGGAATCATCCTCATAGTGTGTCTTACATGCTTTTTCCAAAACGTTATATAGATCAATTTTATTTTTATCTTTAGGGAAAAAGATAATCTAAATATAGCCTTGTTACTTCCTTTTCTGTCTTCCTTACTTCCTTCTCCCTTGCTTTCTCATTCTGTCTGTCTCTCATTTTCTTTTTTTTTTTTCCTGCTTTTTTGGTGTTAGAGATAGAACCCAGGGTCTTATGTGTACTAGGCATATAACCTGCCATTGACTGATAACTCCAGCCCAACTTTTTTCTGTTTTATTTGATGCATTTATGAATTTATCAGCTCTGCTTCAGGGAATATGCCTCAACCTAGGGAACAGAGATGAATGGAAAATGATTCTTTTTAAAACTCCAAGGAGTTTTGAAGGAAAACATTTATACAGATATAACTAAGACTCAGCAGACTGTACAGTAATGACTGTGGCAAATCACTCTTGCACGTATGGGAAACCAGAAACCCCACTTAGAAAATGCTCTAATTTTCATAGTTTTTTTTTCCCAAGTTATTTTGTGATGTCATAGAGGCAATTTTCTGTGGTTGAATAACAGTATTTTCATTTGTTGGGTTTTATAAGTGAGTATAATTAGGGGAAGTGGGTGGATTACAATAGTGTTGGAGACATCTCAGTTGGAAGCCTCTGCACACTCACTCCCTGAGTTCTTGAGTTTCAGGTTCCTGTCTCTGATGTGGGGAAACCTCCAAGAGTTTCTCTGAAATTGCCATGTTCTTCAGAGACTAAAAGAACAGCATAACAGGGTGTGGATCAAAATAATTGTGTTTTTTTTTTTAAGTACTTGCACCTTATTTTTTAATCGTCATAGAATATTTTTACATATTTATAAGGTATAGTTTGATAATTCAATTGAAATATTCAAGGGATAATGATACAGTCAGGATAATTAGCATTTTCATCTCCTTAAATATTTATCATTTCTGTATGTTGGGTACTTTTGGGTTCTTCTTTTCTAATTATTTTGAAACATACAATAATAGTCTATAGTTACCTTACTTTAGAAACTAGAACTAATTCCCGCTATCTAATTGTATTTCAATACAATTCAATACAATACAAATTCTATTGAAGGAAGTATGCTTTAATTTGACATGATGCTAGGAAGGGACTGAGTTTTGGTGTCACTGCCAGTCCTACCTTTTAGAATTCTGACAAGTAATCATAGATTAAAAAGTACCAGGTGAGGATCAAAATTGCATATTCCCTTTATTATAAGTAACCTGGATCAGAAGTTTTCTCTCCACTGGAGCATGTGGGAGATTCTTCTTACTGCTTCTGCCTTAAATTGACGAGGTGTATCAACTCTACCACTGAAAAGGGAGCTGTAGACCCTCAAGGAGGGGAAGCTCAGGCCCCAGTAGCTTCCCTGGAGAAGAAAGATCAGGAAGGAGGTTCCTCCCACAGTGCTCCAGGGCAGGTCAGAAGAGTAGCAGCAGATGTAAAAGGCAAGGCCTGCTTCTGATTTATGAAACCTTGAGGAGCAAGTTTATGGCTCTCTGGTTATATATTAAGCCTTTAGAAGCAAGAGTCATTTCAGATCCCTGGAGTTCTATTTGCTATAAAATTAACACCAAAGTAGACCAAATGGCATTGGAAAAACTCCAAAAGTCTAATCCATTGCACTCTACACATTAAAGTTGAATCAGTAATTCATAACTAAATGGTTTTTACCTTGGTTTCTTTCATAGCTCTGCCCACACTACAGTCAGACTTATAACCTACCCTTAACAGACCAAAGAGGCCTCAGGCAGCTAAATTTGCTCTGTTTTGGTACATGAAATAATGGGAAAATGATCTAGATTGGAGCATGCGGAAGTTCCCCTGGGAACACTAGTTAAAACATCCATTCTCTGGTCCACTTTCAGAGATCCTGAGGTTTTAGATGCAAGTGGGGCCAGTTAGGAATTTGCATTTTAAAGAAAGGCCCATTTTGCAGCTGATGCTGCTGTTGTATGGACTAGGCCTTCAGATACTCTGGTAGCCCATAGAGATCAAGTATGGTCTCACAGCTAAATTCACTGCCTGGAATACAGCCAGATTCAGTTCTATCTTATTGTTTATGGCTGCATTCACATTAGGAGATATGAATTCAAGTTGCAAAGGGCCCTTAATAGAAAAAAAATTTTCTTTTTTTTGCCTTTCCCAAGCTCTGATTTCTTATTGAATAATTGAGTAATTATCCTAAATATGCATGCTATATGCATTTCTAGATAGAAATATATTTATTAATAAAATTCAAATATAGTAATTAATATGTGTCTTTTCATAGTAATTTGGTATGTTATTTTCTCTGTCAAGGACTGATCAGCAGCATAATTGCTCTCATATGGAGGCCTGGGAAGCTTCTTTTTAAAGTAGATATATTCTGGAATAGATCAAATCCTCATAGTAACTTTGAATCCAAGCTACCTCCTTCAGACCCTTCAGGTATGAGTCCCACAATGGCAGGAATTCCTCTCAGGTCCTGCTCAGGATGACCCAGATATAAATATCCAGGTATATTGATGGTCAATGGTATTTTACCTCACATGACATGAAATATTTACAGACCTAGGAACTGCTGCATAATTGTACCTTGAAACTGAAAAAGAAATCTTACTCCAATAAAAATGTATGTTTACACTGGATGTGTGTTTTTTTGGTGCAAACAGATTTTGTTTTGATCATATCTTTAACTCTCTTGCTCTTTCTTTTCTTTTCTTTTTTTTTTTTTTTTTTTTTTTTTTTTTTTTGTGTGTATGTGTGGTCCTGGGGATGGAAATCAGGGATGTTCTGCCACTGAGTTACGTTCTCAGCCCTTTTTATCTTCTGTTTTCTACAGAGTCATACTAAGTTGCACAATCTGGGTTTGAACTTGTGGTCTTCCTGCCTCAGCCTCCCAAGTCACAGATGTGCACCACGGCGCTAGGCTCACATCTTTAACTCTTATGAAAAGATACCCTTAGTTCTTGGTTTCAGTTTTTAGTATAGAAAATACATCTGCTAATCAGTCATATGCATTTCTTAGTATAATCAGAAACTTCAATTTTGCTTTGCAGAGAAAGTTAGCTGCCATGCCTGACCATACGGATGTCTCCCTAACCCCCGAAGAGCGAGTCCGGGCCCTCAGTAAGCTGGGTTGTAATATCACCATCAGTGAAGACATCACCCCACGCCGCTACTTCAGGTCTGGAGTAGAAATGGAGAGGATGGCATCTGTGTATTTGGAAGAAGGAAACTTGGAAAATGCCTTTGTTCTTTATAATAAATTTATAACGTAAGTCTTGTTGGAGGCCTTTAAAATAAGAAAATTGGAAAAATACTTACATGATATTTTGATGTGGCTGATTGGGTACCAGGAAATTTTCACATTCAAACCAGTTTTATTATTTGCAAAAACATTAAATGTCCAGGTTTTAAAGTTAGTAACAAGTTTACTGAAAGACATTTAGACACCTCTGAGACTTAGATGGGAGCGATCAGGTTTTCCGTAGGCCAGCCTGGAAACCTGAATATCTCACTTTTCAAAAGTAACATTTCTTGTTTCATGCCTTTCTTCCCTCACTGGAATGTAAGGCTTTTAAGAGGAGGATCCGTAGTATAGCTCCATCCTTAGCACCTGGAACATGCCATCAGAGTTTTTATAATTTGATTTGGTGAGTTGAGACTAGGGGACAAGTTGGGGAACTTAGGAAAGATGTGGTTCAGGGTAAGGGTACAGTCATTTCATTTAGTCCTTAGTTTTTTTTTTCTTTAAAGAAAAGGCAATTGGGCTGTGTAAGAATTGTATGTATAAAAGGATATTCAAAATGTTGAATGAAAGTGGCTACATAAAAAATAAAGGTATTGTGTTGATCTACAACTAAAAAAAAATATTTGAAAAAAAGAGGTAACATAAATGGGATTCTGAGTTTTCATACAGGTTTAATGACTTAATTATTAGAAGGATCTACTATTAGCTCAGTGCAGTCGTGCACGCCTGTAATTCCACAGGCTTAGGAGGCTGAGACAGGAGGATCTCAAGTTCAAAGCCAGGTCAGCAACTTAGTGAGGCCCTAAGCAACTCAGTGAGACCCTGTTTCTAAATATAATACAGAAAAGGGCTGTTTATATATGTATGCATTGTGAAATGACTAAATCAAGCTAATCAACATATTCATTACCTCAAATGCCATTTTTTTATAGCAAGAATATTTAAAGTCTACTGTCTTGACAATTTCCAAGTATACAGTACATGAAAACCATGTTGAACACGGGCTCTCCTAAACTTACTCCTCCTAACTGAAATTTATATCCTTTGACCAGTACCTCCTAACTCCCTCCATATCTCCAACTGCTGGTGACTACTGTTCTATTTTCTGCTTCCTTGAGTTTGACTTTTTAAAATCTCGCATATAAGTTAGATCATGTATATAATGACCATGTAGATCATTTGTATTTCTTTTCTTTTTTTTTATCATTTGTATTTCTTTACCTTATAATTTCACAAATTTATTTGGGGACTTACCATAAAAACATTTCAGAAATTGAAAAGAAAATATTTTAAAACTGTTTTCCATGATTCTACCAAAGGCAAAGTTCAAAGTGGTCTACATAATCTTAAATTTCTATATTAGTGAACAATAAAACTTAACTTGGAAATTTAAGGAATGGTTGTGGTTGGAAATCTTTGCCCTACCTGAGTTAAAGATAAGCAATAACTATGAAATTGAAGGTTCCCTACCACCATTGACAACTAAGACTTGCCAGAAATATTTGTTTCTGAACTATGTTACCAATGAATAATATTTATTTTACTTTCTCCATTTTACACACAGTCCTATGGAATCACAAGTGTGGTGAGAAGGAAAAGCCACTATTCCTTCCTTGAGTTACTGAGTAATTAGAATGCTTGAATTATAGTGTTAGCAGTGCAATAATTTGTACTTCACTTATGCTTCTTGAACCTCACTGCCTCATCTATGAATGAAGGGCTTAATGGAAGAAAATCTCTGAGGTTCCTCCAGCTCTCAATGTCTAATTTTACTCTGTTTATAAGGTTTTAGGCAGTTAACAACTTTTTTTTGTAGCTTCTGTAAGTCTTAATTTTGTCATTTGACAATTGGATATTATCATTCCTGTTTTCCCCTATAGCCTTGTAATCAGATGCAATGAGTTGATAAATATGTAAATGTGACCTGTAAACAATAGAATCAGTAATTGCAAGATACCACGTAAGGGTTGGTCAAAAGTCATATTTCTAGCCCATTGTGATAATGTTACAAATTTTTATTCAGTAACTATTATAAACTGTAGTTCAGGCTGGGGACACATCAGTGCACAAAAAAGTATTCCCGCCCTTGTGGAAACAGTTTCTTCACTTTATCTGAGAGCTTGCACCTGGTTTTCATGGATTTACCTTCAATTCTGCCGTATCTTGTTCCTCCAAAAGAGGTGACAAATAATTAACTACTAATTAACACCTCCCAAACAACTAGGGATTTAGGTTGTCATTTCTCTTAGTTTTGGGTTTTCAGTTTAAAAGTTTTGATTCATACATGATGGTGCTACTGATTCATGAGTGGTTGGTTGAGTCTTTTTCAAGGGTGAGAAAGGATTTATATTTCCAAACTCTTACACACATGAGAAAGATGGGGCTCTCGTGGGATCAAGTGTCCAAGGCCTGGGAAAGACCAAAGTGACTTGGTCTATATAGGGAGTAATGTGTTCTGACCCTGTTAGCCTCAGTCCTTAATTTGCTGAGTCTAACTGCTCCAGAATGCCAAAACAATAACCATGCCAACTTTACTGAGAAGGTAGATGAAAAGTCTGTATGTTAAATAATAAGTTACTAAGCATGTCATTTTTGAAAAGGATGCTCATTCCCATCTGTGTTAATCAACTTTTCATCACTGTGGTCAAAATACTCGACAAGAACAACTTAGAGGAGGAAGTTTGTTTTGGGGTTCACAGCTTTAGAGACTCAGTTCATGTTCACTGGACTCCATTTGCTCTGGGCCTCAAGTGAGGCAGAACATTATGGTGGAAGGATTGGTGGAGGAAGGCTGAAGCAGAGAGAGAGAGAGAGGAGGGACAAAGTGTAATTCCCAAAGGCACACCCTTAATGACCTAGTTTTTCCAGCCACACCCTACCTGCCTACAGTTACCACCCAGTAGTTCATTCAAATTGTTAATCCATCAAATGGATTTATTCACTGATAAGGTTGTAACTCTCATCATTTAATCATTGCCTACAAGCCCCACCTCTGAACCTTGCTATAATGAGGACCATGCTTTCAAACCATGAGCTTTTTTTTGCGGAAAACTAAAAGTCCAAACCATAACACTGTCTTTGGGCTTTTGCTGTCATATAATGCTAAGGATATGTTTTTTTTTTTCTTTCTCTAGCTTGTTTGTAGAAAAGCTTCCTAGCCACCGAGATTACCAACAATGTGCAGTGCCTGAAAAGCAGGATATTATGAAGGTATTGTGGGATCGATTCTCTGCTGTGGGATCAAATGCTCCATAAGTATCCATTATTGATTTCCCTTCTGTTTCTATTCCTCCCCATCTTTTCCTCTGGAGAGTTTGAGCACAAGAGATTCATTCCATTAGGCATGACGTTTCGATTTCTTTTTAGACATTTAATGATTATGACTGAGCCAGTGTGAGGTCTCTAATTGATGTTGGGGGGAAAAGAAAGACAAAGAATGTGCTCAGTCACCTTCTGACATGAAGAAGGAATTATTTTACAGTTCCTCTCAGCGATAGAGAGAATGGTTATATATTTCCCTGTGTTTTGATTAATCTGTACAGCCCTGAACCCAACTATTTGAAAATCAACATTGATTTTTAAGGCAGCCACAGAGTTCTAGCCACAGTCATAATTGCATAATGATGCTTCAGTCCATCACAAATCACGTGTGTGACAGTGGTGCCATTAAGAGATATGGCCTAGTGATGTCATAACTGCCTTAGTTTGTGTGTAAGTACACTCTATAATGTTCACACAATGACAAAATCATTGAATGACACATTTCTCAGAATGTGTCCCCATCCATAATTGGCACATGACTCTGTTTACCTCTTAGAGAACTGGTCTTATGCAAAATAAAATGTTGGGGCTGGGATTGTGGCTCAGAGTGCTTGCCCCGCACATGTGAGGCACTGGGTTTGATCCTCAGCACCACATAAAAATTAATAAATAAAATAAAGATATCATGTCCATCTATAACTAAAAATTTTTTTAAAAATTAAATTTTTGCCGGGTTGTTCTGCCTTAAATATTCTCAAGGAAAAGAAGGATTGTTGCAAATGCATTTATCATAAACATTCACTTTAATATCTTTAGCTGAGAATGTATCCTTTTGAATAAACATGTACAGTGTTTCCCATTTATTCCTCCTAAATGGTTTGTGTTGCTCTTATAAGGAATTAAAGTAATGTATACAAAGGCAATCACAGCATGAAATGTTTAGATGACTTTTGAAAATTATGTTATCACAGTATGGAATAAAGGGTCTCCTACCAGTCCTATGAAGCCTGAGGCTACCTGGAAGCGGAACTCAGATTTTGTCAAATGGTTATCTACATTTTAAAAAATGTTTATAGTCACTGTGTTATCGTGCCTTCATATAGCATTTCCCCTCAGCTCATTTAGCCTCAGAGAGTTCTGTATGGAAACCAAAAGTCCCAGGCTGCCAAGGTGACTCTTTTCCTCTGATGGAGGGTTGCTCACATTTTATTGGGAGGAGAAAACTTCTGTACATTTCTCTTGTTTATGCCTTTGTTAAATAAATGGATAGGTGAATGAATGGGTGAATTAATGAATGAATTGAATGACAATGGATTAAAGAACAGAAATTTTGGTGGAAGAGCCTGTCTAGAGGCAGGAGACTTGGGTTCTAGTCCTAACTGGGCCACTAGCTGGTTGCCTGACCCTCAACAATCTCCCCAGGCCTTTGTTTCCTCATCTCCAAAAAGGAGGGTAGTGATTAGACCATATCAGGTTTCCCAGATCTTCCTGCCATTAAGAATTACTGGGGAAGTAGTTTGAAATGCAGATTTCCCAATCCTTTCTTTATGTTAATTCTGTAGATTTATGATTAGGTCCTAAAATATAATCTTATGAATTGTGACTCAGCTGCCTTCTACACTCTGACATGTCTAAGAATCTCTACCCATCAAACATCCTCCAATGTCTGTGATGCTGCATGTTTTACATATAAAATGTGTGATTCTACCTACTCCCTAAAAAGTGGGGCACCTGTCTAAACAAGTATGTATATAACCAATGGAGTCAATAGTCTAACAAAGGAATATATATATTCTTTTTTTAAAAAAAAAAAAAAAAACTTCCCTGCTGAAAGTTATATTTTGGAGCCCTAGAATGGAGAAATTTATTTTTCTGCCATTATCTTTGGTTATTCTTGTCTTGATTTCTAATACACATGCCAGCTGCTTTTCTTTCTCAGCTAATGATCGGAACGAGCATACTGAAAATCCCACTAATCAATATGTATATATATTTTTAAAAGAAACTGAAGGAGATTGCATTCCCAAGGACAGATGAATTGAAAAAGGACCTTTTAAAGAAATATAATGTAGAATACCAAGAATATTTGCAAAGCAAAGTAAGTTCAATTGCTATATTTATTTCATGACTGTTTTCTTTGCATATTTTTTTTAAAATTTCACTTGTATATGTTTTCCAAATGTCATAAGCATTTAAATTAAAGATTGAAGATGCAGTAATGTGAAATCAATAAAAAATTTATGTTGGTGTCCAAGTTAAGCACTCTCACCAAAGATGTGGTATTTTTCTTTCCCTACAACATCTAATAAAGCAATGCATTAGAAAATAGATTTGCTGCAGAGATTTAAATAGCGCTTTTGACCAACTTTTGCCAATGTAACCTTGAGCCAGATGGCTGGATTTTTTTTTCCAGATGAACAAAGGCAGTAGGAAATAGAGGGAACAGTGTGTGGTTTCTGATGTATCTAATTATGTAGGTCTTGGAAATGTAATTTTGACTCTTAATCATTACAGTCCATATTACATTGTAGATAGAACAGCTAACTCTATGGGTATAATGTAATCATGGCACCAAAGGATGGTTTTTCCTGGATCATTATTAAATAAAGAGTGAAAATGATAATGATATCTAAGAGACAGACAGGCATCAAAAGAAGAAATTGGATCAATTTATGGGTCACATATGACTATTGAGTGCTTAAAATGTGACTAGTGTGACTGAGACACTGAATTTCTAATTTTTAAAAAATTTCAAATAATTTAAATTTTAATAATCACATGTGGCTAATGGCTACTAGATTGAGCAGTACAGTCTAGAGGTGAGATATTTTGTTCCATATGGTCTGGCCAGTCAAGCTGAGTCAACAACCCTGACATTGATTTTCCAATATTCAGAAGCACTGGGGAAAGGCAGAAACTGATGGTCTCTGGTAAAATAGGAGTAGGTTTAGAACAGCTGTCTTAATCAGATTAAGGGGCTTTTGCTGTGATGTGTGTTTTTCTTAGTGTTTCATGAGTGTCCCTGTGAGGGTATCAAGCTGTCTCATCCCAGTTTGATGATTTTGTTTTGTCTTGAGAACTAACTTTTGTTTTTTTTTTTTTCTTATGGCATCCACATTTTTAGAACAAATATAAAGCCGAAATTCTCAAAAAGCTGGAGCATCAGAGATTGATAGAGGCCGAAAGGAGGCGGATTGCTCAGATGCGCCAGCAGCAGCTGGAATCGGAGCAGTTTTTGTTTTTTGAAGATCAACTCAAAAAGCAAGAGTTAGCCCGAGGCCAGATGCGAAGCCAGGAGACCTCTTCGCTGTCAGAGCAGATTGATGGAAGTGCTCTGTCCTGCTTTTCTGCACACCAGAACAATTCCTTGCTGAATGTATTTGCAGATCAAGCTAATAAAAGTGATGCAACCAATTATGCTAGCCACTCTCCTCCTGTGAATAGAGCCTTAAAGCCAGCAGCTACTCTAAGTGCTGTTCAGAGTAAGTGCTGACATGCCTCCTGCAAAGACTCTGATGCTCCCTGATGGAACCATTTTTCTGTAGCATCTTGGAAGGTCTCTCTTTATTTTATTAGTAATTGTGGTAGGATCCCTATATTAAATGGTGTGAATTGCAGATGACCCTTTCAGCACTTTCTGACATTTACTATATATTAACTTTAAATTTCAGGAAACATGCCCAATGATAGGGCAAACTCTGTAGGACTGAATTTTGAGAATTCCAAGCATTTTTTTTCCTTCTATGTGTTTTAATCAAGAAGCACATATGTTTTTAAGGTAAACACTTACCCAGAGAAGAAAGGAAGCTGCTGAGTAAATCTCTTATCCAGATTTTTGCTCAGTAATAAAATGTTAATTCCAGGGATGTTCAGCATTATCCCTGTGCTGAGAGGGTCTCATACACATAAACAGCTAAAATCCAAATGGCATATGCATTTCTGCCAACAGTTAGTGCTGCTTAGTTTTTTTAGATCAGTGCTGGCCAGTTTCTAAAATCAAAGAGATCTCTTCCTGATAGACACTGTCAGATGTGAGTTTCTGTTCTCATTTTCAGAGTGTTATGATAGGCAACTGTTTAATTAGCTACTTTACTACTGATCATTTTTAAAAATGTGCTTTTGCTTACCAATTTTCATTGGGACATAAGCAACTTCTAGTAAATACATTAAAGAATATTAATACCAGGGGCTGGGGTTACAGCTCAGCAGTAGAGCCAGTAGAGCGCTGGCCTCGAACATGAGGTCCTGGGTTCGATTGTCAGCACTACATAAAAATTTTTAAAAGAATAAATAAAGATATTGCATTCATCTTTAAAAAAATCTTTAAAAAATATTAATACCATGTCTTATAAGGTACAAGATGCATTTTCTACATCCTATCTATTTAATGGTATATTTGCTGTGTGCCAAAAGAAACATACACATTCATGGAAGATAGTTGTTCCAGGGCACAAAAATATACAAGCCACTTGCACTTTACTATTTTGTTTATAAAATAATTTGTATAGGAAATGTAATTTTACCTTCCTTCTAATCAATGTTTTAAGAGTTTTTAAACAAAACATGGAAAGTGAAGATTTGTATTTCAGTTTTTTCTCCTTTTTTGTATCTTAGATTTAGTGGTTGAAGGACTGAGATGTGTAGTCTTATCAAGAGATCTCTGCCACAAATTTCTGCTGCTAGCTGAATCTAATACCATAAGAGGAATAGAAACCTGTGGAATACTTTGTGGAAAGCTGGTATGTTTTTTTTCTAGATCTCTCTGCACATGATTTTTCAAATAGTAGTAGGGCTTCCTTGTAATCTGCAGAGCAGAATAAAAACATGCTAAGAGCTGTAAATATAATAAATTAGCCTTAAAATATTAATCTCCTAAAAATACAACCATTTTTCATGGAATAATTTGAGAAAATGGATTGGAAAATTTCAGGGGCTCTGTATAAAGGCCTGTTTGAAATACTTTATCAAGCCATAAATTAAATCTTTGTTAATAGAAGATCACAAGTATTCAGATTTCCAGATTCATCTTGTTTGCTACATCGTATTTCCTTTACCATCGTTAGTTTCACATGTGTTCATATAATTGACTTAGTTTCACATGTGTTCATATAATTGACTTTCTACATATTCTCATCTATGGCAGGTCCCCTGCCATTGTTTTTCAGGTACATGTGGAATAAAACTGGAATTTTGTTGTTTTCTTTGGTTTAAGGCAATAGTTTTGGCAAACCAAGATCTATAAGCAGTGGCTCTATTTTATTATGGAAATGTTACCAGAAGTATGTGATAAAGGGCAGTGTCAAAATAGAAGGAGCTAAGCTAGGATGGGTTTGGTTTCTTACCACAACAAAGATGAGCAATGTGTATTTGGAAGCATTTTTTTTTTTTAATTTCCTCTGGGTATCAGTTTAAATTTCTGGATGCAGGCACATTTTCAGTCCTCAAAATTATTGCTTGAACAATATGTTTTATTCAACTCACATCCTCCTGCTGAATTCCAGTGTTTAATCATCTCTTTCCACCAGGAAAGGGGAAGCCCACCTGGGATGAGCAGTGAGTGACCATCATTTCCCACCCACAGTCACCTTGGTTGTCCTTCAGGGGGTTGAGGGCTGTGGAAGCTTCCTTCCCAACATCTTATGTTGTATTTGGTGTGATTGATTGGTTGATTCATTCATTCATTATTCATTCCATCTGCCTCAGACATTTACAAAGTGTATGTGCCAGCACTGTGCCAGGCACTCAGCAGCCTGCAACAGCTTTGGTCCCTGCTTGTAAAGAATCAGACAGATGACTAAGTGGGGCTGAGTGCTCTTGGTGGAAGCCCAGGCTATCAAGGGAATGTGTAACTGGGGAACCTGACCTTGTGGGCAGGGATGTGAGATGAGCTTCCCTGAGGGGTGATGTTGAAGCTAGGCCTGAAGAGTAAATCCAGCAGCCCTGAACGGACTGGGTGGAATGGAAGGAACCATTGTAATCAAGGCAGAAGGAACAGTGCCCAACTGGCAGGAAGGTCTTAAGGCTAGGGAGAGGATAGTGCTGGGGATAGATGGACATGCCAACCTGCCTTGGGCACGACAGCTTCTCACCACCAGTGACTCTGCACTCTGGGCCTCTGGTCTAAGGATCTCTCACCACCTGGGAGCCTCACTTCAGCTCTTATCTTTTACCTAAGAGGGATAATTTATCTTTTATTCTTTAACTGTGAAAGCTAAAATATTATCTTTATTGTGGAAGATCTAGTGAGTCTTCTCAATACTAGAAGAAAGTTTATAGGTTTTTTTTAGAGAAATTAAATATAATTAATAAAATAAAACCAAAACCATCAATCTGCATAACTCTTAGAAATGCACTTTAGTAATACTACAAAATTATTTAACTAGCATCTCTCCTTCCAAAGAAACCTGCCCTTGTTTTGTTCTGATTTTATCCATTGTAAATCTGTCAAGATATTATTTATTAACTAAATTGTCCTGGACTCCGCTTCCCAGAAGGGTATTTTCTATTTATGATAGATTTGCTACTATAAAAGTGGGTTTCGAGTTCTAAACAACTGGCTCTCAAAACTTGGGGCAAAGAATCCACTTTTATATTTGGGACATTTTAAATTGTGATGGAGTGTATAGGGTGAGGGGGGAGCCAGGTTGTAAGGGAAAGCTTTAGTCTTGTGGCAAAACATTTCCCATTTTTTCCTATTTACTAGTTACGGTTCTTTTTACTAATTGTCTTTCAGACACATAATGAATTTACTATTACTCATGTGATCGTGCCAAAGCAGTCTGCTGGGCCAGACTATTGTGATGTGGAGAATGTAGAAGAATTATTCAGTGTTCAGGATCAACACGATCTCCTCACTCTGGGATGGATCCACGTATGTTTGACTTGTTGGATTTCAGTTTATTTTGTAAGGCATATTATTTTCCTCCTTGAAGAAATTTAGTTTTATTTGTATTTTTTAAGTATAATAAATGCTATTATATTAAAGTATTTAATTCAATGTTAGGCTGTATATAAATCTGTCAAATATGGATTTTTTTTTTTTTTTTTTGGTACCAGGGACTGAACCCAGAAGTGCTTAACCACTGAGCCACAGCCACAGCCCTTTTTTATTTTTTAAGACTGGGTCTCTCTAAGTTACTTGGAGCCTTGCTAAGTTTCTTAGGCTGGCTTTGAACTTCCAATCCTCCTGCCTCAACCTCCCAAGCCACTGGGATTAACAGGCATGTGCCTCCATAGCCCACTCAAATTGGGATTTGAAGAGGGGTATTTTATTTATTTATTTATTGTACCACCCATAGTTGAGAAAGAAAACCTAAAACGTTTGGAAATTAGGTGACTCTTTCTGATGATTTCACATAGTCTAATGGAGGCTTAGTCAGATTTTTTTTTTATAGATTTGACTAAGCAGTTACAATATTTTCTATAGGTTTACATTAGATTATCTAAAAACATTCTGAAGATGTTTCATTTAAGCAGCTTTTGTATATATCAGATAGGGTCCATTCACTTCACTGCACTGCCCCTATAGGTCAAGAAGAGAGAGAAAGACTGGGAGCAGGAAAGAAAATATCACACTGTAAACAGCCATGGAATCGGATTAATGGATAGGGTCAAGAACATTGGGTTCTACCATCTACAAGGCCGTCATAGGAGTAGGAAAGTGTTTGCAAATCAAATAAACTTGAGTTTAAATCTCAGTTCTGCTAAGAATTTACTTGTGGGAACTTCAGCAAGTTCCTTAAGCAATGTGAACATCAATTTTATTATCCATAAAATAGGTATCATAATAATTGGATTCATCCTTAATGAATTCCTTAGCATATTTTTCTAGGGGCTCAGAAAAAATTATGACTGTTATTATTGGTGATGATACTTTATTTTTCTATCTTTTCCATTTGGTCTCCTAAGACAGTATCCCAGCTGGACTTGGGATACTGTCTTAGTTCATCCATGCTGCTATAACAACATATTTGAGGTTGAGGAATTTATAAGGAACGGAGATTTCTTTCTAATAGTTCTGGGGGCTGGAAAGTCCAAGATCAAGGTACTGGCAGTACTCGTATCTGATGAGGCTGCTCTCTGCTTTTAAGATGGTGCTTTGATGTTAGGTCCTTACATGTTAGAGGCAGAAGAGCAAGATAGCACTCCCTTCAACCTTGAACCCTTTTAGAAGTATGCTGATAGTCACCTCCCAAAGGCCATACCTCTTCATGCTGTTACACTAAGCTTCAGCAAGAATTTTGGAGAGAATCTCATCATTCAAACCATAGTGTGTGGAGACAAGTCATCCCATGCTTGCTGAGATTTCCGGAGCACAGCTTGGATGATGGCAAGAGTCCCTGAAGAATGATGTAATCATTTTGTATTCTTGTTTATAGAGAAGCACTGAGTAGGGTCAACATACACAGACACATGTCAAGTATTTGATACTATGTGATTTAGGAGCACAGAGGAGACTGTATTCCCATTCTACCTGTAAATAAGCCTTGCTGTGTGCTTGAAAATTGCTCTGTTTTAAAGTTGATATTTAGCTTAACCTAAGTACAAAAATGTACTTTAAAGCAAAACAAATTGAAGTATAGAAATTGTAACAAATTAAAAATGATAGTCTTTTAAACCACACATTATATTGACAAGTCAATGGTAGTTTATCTTTGGAAGATTTCTTTTGATTTGCATTCTCCTTTTCTTAATGTGACTATTTAAAGCAATTTCCAAATTAAAAGCACATGGTTTTTTTTCCCTATAATTTTCTGTATATAGAATGCATGCCATAATGAATTTAGATTGTTTACGTAATGAATTTGGCATAATTATAGAATTCTAGGACTTTCACTTAATTTATTTTTCTGTATCAAATTGTGATTCAATGAAAATAGGAATATGTTACATTTTTAAATCTCAATGATTGCAATAACATTTTTATGCTGGTTTTGACGGAGCATAATAATAGTAACCAATTCCAGATCTTTTTTTCAGATCTAAATTAGTCATAGAAAACAAAGACTGAATTAGAATCAGACAGACCTGGAATAGAATTTAGATTTCTTGACTTGACTAGCTTAATGAGCTTCAAGGAGTTGCTCTCCAGCTTACTTCAGTTTTTTTCAACTATAAAATGAGAATAATGACAGCACTGATCTCGTCTTGTTATTGTGAGAATTCAATGATATAATTCTCAGTCAGTGATTAGTTCCGTGCCTGGCACATTATTCAATTGCTGTAAATGGCATCTGCAGCTATTATCGTTGTCTCCATCATCATCATCATCATCAGTGTTGTTTTCATGGACTCAGGGAGTGGCCACACCACCCTCCCAGGAGACCTGTGCTCATTGGATAGAAGTGACTCCTGTTGGCAGACATGAAGGGCTCAGAGAGTCATGTTGGGTACATTCTTGAAAATAAGTTAACGGGCAGAGTGAGATTTGCTTGTTTGACAAACTGCTGCCTCCACAGCACAGTAGTGCCTTTGACTACTTCTTACTTTCTCACCAAGACATTGGAAACACTATGTTACTCAAAGAAAGCATTCCCAGTCAGTTAAATAGGCTTTAAACCTTGTATTCATGCTCCTACTAAATATTTGGGTTCTTTAAGTTAGGATAGGACTGGGGATGTAGCTCAATGATACAGCGCATGCTTAATATGCATGAGGCTCTGGGGTCAATATGCAGCACATGCATGCGCGCTCACACACACACATGTGCCCACAGACACACCTACGCACAGAAAGTTGGGAAATTATGTGATTCTTTATAGGCCAAGAGTTATTTTTCCTTGCAGAACGTGTTTCTTTCTGTAAATAACCATGTGATTTTACCTTTAATCTATAAATAGGTAGAGAAGAGTTTTGAATCTTTCATTTCTACCACATACCCTGCTTGTGTAAAGGCATTAAGCTATTACTATGGGCCTGTGCCCTTAGTTAATAATGACAACATTAAAATAACAAAAACAGAGTCATAATAACAGCTAATGACTTTGGCTCCTTTCTTTGTGTTAAGCACTATTCGAAGAATTTTACATGGATTAGTCCATTTAATCTTTATACAACCCCACCAAGAAAATGATTCTCATACGTTTTTATAAATGATGAAATGAGCAGGAGGAGGCTATGTGATCTTCCCTGTGTCTTTTACCAAGTGAGTCGTGGAGCCAAGACCCAGATAGTGTGTATCAAAGACCTTTTTTTTTTCATAAATAAAATTGTCATATTCCATTTTCAAGGGTCGTTAGGTTTGAATGTGAATTTTTAAGTCATTATATATGCATTTATTTTTTTATTCACATATGAACCTCTCACTTGCCTCTGATAAACCAAAGATTTTATTTAGCCAGGAACTTTGGAAGGTTTCTTTTGATTTGCATTCTCCTTTTCTTTCTCTTAATATGAATATTCATTGCTGTGCATGATGACCCCAAACACCTTCAACAACCTACAGACTCCCACCTTTCTGTTTACAGAGAATGGTGATCCATAAAGGATACACAGTAATGTGGAATATTCAGTGAATAGGTTCCTTCCATGGTTTTGCATAGAAGTATCTGTGGTCCAAGGTCTCCACTTTCCCGGGTCTCAGGATTCTTATACATAAATTTGAAATAATAAAATAAGTATCATGGATGAGTTTTGCTGATCAAATGGTAATCTATTTAAATCCTCTGGCAAGTCATTTTCTAGCTCTTTCCCAACAAGAAGAAAGTAGATAACAGACCTGGGAGCCACTTCTCAAAATCGTAGTTATTCCAAATAAGCAAATAATAGGAATGCATAAAAGGAAAGAGGATGTCAGCAAAATATTTTTAAAAATCCTTATTCGGCTGTGTGCAGTGGTGCACACCTATAATCTCTCAGGAAGCTAAGGCAGAAGGATTGCAAGTTTGAGGCCAGCCTCTGCAACTTTGTGAGACCCTCAGGAACTTTGTGAGACTGTCTCAAAATAACAGTTAAAAAGATTGGGGATGTAACTCCGTGGTGGACTAAGCTACCCCTGGATTCAATCCCCATTACCTTACAGGGAAAAACATTCTTATTGGAATAATGATGGTAAAATTTAAAAAAAAAATCAATAGAATTTTTTTTTGAATAGGCTATGGCCTGGCTAAGCCTCAGCTGCCCTAATAAGTTTGTCCTCTTTCTGTTTTATAGACACATCCCACCCAAACTGCTTTCTTATCCAGCGTTGATCTTCACACTCACTGTTCCTATCAGCTCATGTTACCAGAGGCTATTGCCATTGTTTGTTCACCAAAGCATAAAGAGTAAGTGTAACTATGGAGGGGAGCCCAAGGAAGGCTTTGGGCTCCTGGGTCCATGTGTGTCTACACATAGCTTGTGGTCTTTGGGAAAAAGAATAAGTAGCAGCTGGCTCTTATATACTAGTATCTCTGCAGCCTTTGGTTTTGAAGGTCCTTTCAGTGGTAAAATCCTAGTTCTTTTCTTGATTGATAAGACCTTAAAGTGGGTAACACTTAACTGTTCTTTGCAGTTCGATTTTCAAGAACCTATTTCTACTGTATTATGTCCTATCACAAGAAATTCCACAGACTTAGGCTCATTACCTCCAAAATGTCCCTCGTTTGGGGAGATCAGATATTGCAGAGTATGGTCATAGGAATCAAATGTATTTTGGAGTCCTGACTTGACCCTTATGTCATAGGATAGACACCTGATCCCTGTGAGTGTCTGCCCATCCTGGATTGATGAGAAGGTGATATTAAGTGATGGTGTATGTACAGTTCTTAGCCTAGTACTGAGCACCACAGCAAGCCCTCAATAAATAGCTGCTGTTGCTATAAATACCATTATAAGAAAAATTAGAAATATCTCCCCCTTGTAATTTCCTCTGTGGGGGGATCTTCTTCTGATCTTTCACACAACAGCACAGCTGCCTGACCCATTATGGTCCTGAAGGTGTTACTTCCTCGTAGGTTTCTCTCCTCTAGACCAGTCAGGGAAATGCTGGGTTAGAAAAACCACAGTGGAATTTCTTTTTTTGTGTTTTTCTTCCTCTGTCCCATTTGGGGACTATGTATGCTGTGTCACTGAAGTAAAGCATCTGGAAATCCCGAGTGGTCCTGAATTTTATACCTTTTTGTTTTTTCTTTTTGACCCTGAAATTTAGCACTGGAATCTTCAGACTCACCAATGCGGGCATGCTTGAGGTTTCTGCTTGTAAAAAGAAGGGCTTTCATCCTCACACCAAGGACCCCAGACTATTCAGTGTGAGTACACAGTGTTAGTTACTTTTGCAGGCATTTTTTTTTTTTTGTTATTATCCCCCCACCCGAATTCTCTTTTAAAGGAGAAAAATAATAGCAGTGTGATATGGAGTAAAACACTATACTGCTTAGTTCAGAGCTTTATCACAGAAAACCAATCTTGTACTTCTTTGATTTCTTCTATTACTTTATTTATAACAAAATGTTAGGATTTCCATAGTAGAGTTGATATGCATAAAGTTACCTTTATATTTGTTTATTTGTGTGGTGTTGAAACATTTTCTTCAGTGTCAAAATAAGCAAACAGTTATTCCAAAAAAAATGATATTAAGTGTCTCATGAATTCTTTCTGCTTCATTTGGATGAATCATTTTTTAATAACCAATTAAAACTGTAATTGTACTTTTGGATAGCTTTATATAGCCCCCAAATAATTATTTGACTACATCTTTTCTTTCTGCTTGTTTAGAAGTTTTATGGCTACAATATTAGAAAAACATTAGAGAGCTCAGAATTTATTTAAAATGGAAATTACTTGGCAATCTGTAAATATTTTCTTGTTGAAAATGAATAAAAAAACATCATATTTGTTCTAATTGGAAATATTTTTTAAATTAGGAAATTTTTTTCAATTAGGAAATCTGCGCTTTCTCCCTAAAGAGAATCATCTGTGAAACATTATGATGTAAAACCAATTTTTTCTTTCCTAGATATGCAAACACGTGTTGGTTAAAGACATAAAAATAACTGTGTTGGATCTGAGGTGATATGTTCCGAATGTAAGCACCATCAACACCAGACATCTGCCCATGGACATGTGGTGGCTGGATTTTCTTAAGATGTTTCCAGAAATGACTGATATTTTATATTTATACATTTTAGACCAGAAAGTTTGATATTTATTGCTCTTGCACATTTTGAAGTTTTCTTTTTGGGTTGCTCTGTCTCAAGAAAAGTCACATGGTGTTAAATCAAATACCTATTAATGTACCCAAATACTATCACCAGATAATAAATTGTGCTGCAAAAAAAAAAAATGGTTGGTGTTTATGGAGATCTCTACATACATGTTTAGACTTTTAGGTGTTTTGTTATATTTAAAAAATACATCATGTAAAATGTAATTCCAAACAAATTCTGTATGCAGGTGGTCTGTACAGCAAACCGTTTCTTGCTTTCCTGTGAAAAGAAACATGGCTACAGTCAGCAGAGCCCATCCTGGGTTTTCAGTGTTATCAAATCCCAGGCTGAGAGTCATGTCTGCAGTGAATCATTGTAGGACATGAGGTGGCAGGCTTCAACTCAGGGATCAGGTATCAGAGGATCTGGGGCAGCATAGGATTTATTAACTTGATTTAGAAGAGTAAAGGCAGAGAAGCTTGGAAGAGAAACAACAGCAACAAAAATATCTCAGCTAAAATCAGAACCTATTACCATAAAAGTTAAAAGGGTGACAGGGAGAAAAACATGAGGCATATGATGAGATAACTGACAATTCCTTAGCCAAATAGAATAAATTTAAAAAAAAAAACAATTTAGAGAGATACTTATAATTTGAAGTATTTATGTTTACCTTCGTGCACAGAGAAGAGAAATGAAATAAAATAAATTTGGAACTGAATAGGAGGGTCTAAATACAGTGGCATGGACTGCTGAGGCTTGCTGTAGCATTTGTGTCTGTGACTTAGATAATGTAAGCACTTACTAGACCAAAAGGTGCAGATTAAATGGAAGTAATGGGTGTCTTATGAATACTGTTGGCAAATTAGATTGCTAGAGGAAAACCTGAGAATGGAAACATTGTGGGAAAAATTCAGCTACAAATATAAGAAGAGAAAAGTGAAAGTGATAATGCTGACTACTTTGAGGACATGGAAAGAGTCTTCACAATACTGAACACCAGTTCTGCATGCACAACTTCAGTCTTGGCAGAAATTGCTCCCAGGCACCTGGGGAAATCCTGAGCTGGTTGCCCTAGCTTTGATGAGCCATACTTGGCCACCACTTAGTTCCCTTTCTTATCCTTTGGGGTATTAGCTGATTCTAGTCTAGCTTTCTCTCCCCCGACCCCAACTCTTCCAATAGTTTTACTGTCTCTTCTTGGATCTCCATTTCTTTCCAACAGGGTAAAATTAATCCTATCTAATGTCCTCTATTCCCCATATCTAATATGCTCAACCACAGCTATCCCACTCCTTGCTTTCCTCCTGGCATTATATCTGAGGTGTCTGAACAGTTCATGTATATATGCACAGTACTGTTATCATTGGGATGTCCTGTTGAAATCCTAGTCCTTGGTGTCCCAAATAGAAAATTGAGCAAGACACACAGAAGTAACAGATATAGTACAGATTTACTGAAGGTGAAGGGAATGCTCCATTATGTAGAGTGGAGTGGGCCTAGCAAGAGAGACAGGCTCAAGGCCCCCGTGTCTGGATATTACAGTCTTGTATCCTGAACTATGTATGGGGTGTTCTCTTCTCTATATGAACCTGATTGAAGATCTTACCTCATTTTCTGATTAGAGTATCTGATTAGAATATTTTCCACACCCCCCCACCATTGGTTATTTTAGAGAATCTAATTAGAATATTGCCCACTTTACCTGCATGGATCATTTTAAAATTTTAACCTGTGGCAGGAGTTGTCATGGTGATAAGTCCTCAGTGGTTGGCCTTGTCATGGTAATGGGATTTATTGTAAATGGACATGACTTCTTGTCTTGTCCTCCCGCAGCTTCTTTCTAACCCGCTATCTCCTCCATCTTGGTGTCTGAACTCTACCTAATTGTACTAATATCTGCTTTTTAGTTCGGTGATTTCTGAAGGAGGGGTAT